CCTCACAGACACACGCACCCACACTCACAGACACACGCACGCACACACACTCACAGACACACACACACAGACACACACGCACTCACTCTCAGACACACGCGCACAGACACACTCACATGCGCACAGACACACTCACACGCTCACAGACACACTCACACGCTCACAGACACACTCACACGCTCACAGACACACTCACACGCTCACAGACACACTCACACGCTCACAGACACACTCACACGCTCACAGACACACTCACACGCTCACAGACACACACTCACACACTCACAGGCACACAGACACACTCACAGGCACACAGACACACACTCACACACTCACACGCACACGGACACACTCACAGGCACACGGACACACTCACAGGCACACGGACACACTCACAGGCACACGGACACACTCACAGGCACACGGACACACTCACAGGCACACGGACACACTCACAGGCACACGGACACACTCACAGGCACACGGACACACTCACAGGCACACGGACACACTCACAGGCACACGGACACACTCACAGGCACACGGACACACTCACAGGCACACGGACACACTCACAGGCACACGGACACACTCACAGGCACACGGACACACTCACAGGCACACGGACACACTCACAGGCACACAGACACACACTCACACACTCACAGGCACACGGACACACTCACAGGCACACGGACACACTCACAGGCACACGGACACACTCACAGGCACACAGACACACACTCACACACTCACAGGCACACGGACACACTCACAGGCACACGCACACATTCACAGGCACACACGCTCACAGACACGTGCTCACACTCACTCGCTCACAGACACAAGCACACACTCACAGACACACGCACGCACTCACAGACACGCGCACGCACTCAGACACGCGCACGCACACTCACAGACACGCGCAGGCACTCACAGACACACGCGAAGGCACTCACAGACACACGCGCACGCACGCGAACACGCACACTCACAGACACAAGCAACCACACTCACAGACGCAAGCAACCACACAAGCAACCACACTCACAGACGCACGCGCACACACTCACAGACGCAGGCGCACACACTCACAGACGCGCGCGCACACACTCACAGACGCACGCGCACACACGCACTCACAGACGCACACGCACTCACAGACACGCGCACACACGCACTCACAGACACGCGCACACACGCACTCACAGACACGCGCACACACGCACTCACAGGCGCACACACGCACTCACAGACGCACGCGCACACAGACGCACGCGCACACAGACGCACGCGCACACAGACATGCGCACACACGCATACGGACACGCACACACGCACACGCACGCGCACACTCACAGACACAAGCAACCACACTCACAGACGCGCCCGCACGCACTCACAGACGCGCGCTCACACGCGCACTCACAGACGCGCGCACACACTCACAGACGCGCGCACACACTCACAGACGCGCGCACACACTCACAGACGCGCGCACACACTCACAGACGCGCGCGGACACACTCACAGACGCGCGCGGACACACTCACAGACGCACGCGCACACACTCACAGACGCACGCTCACAGACGCACGCTTACAGACGCACGATCACAGACGCACGCTCCAACACACTCACAAACGCACGCGCACACACTCACAGATGCACGCGCACACACTCACAGACGCACACTCACAGACACACGCTCACAGACGCACGCGCACAAACTCACAGACACACGCACACAGACGCACGCTCACACACTCACAGACGCACGCGCACACACTCACAGACGCACGCTCACACACTCACACGCGCACGCTCACAGACA